TTTTAACTCAAAAATGTCTGTAAATCAAATGCAGATAATTTTCCAAATAGCTACACGCACACATAGTGCGAAGGGGGCGGACCTTGACACACCTAGACAGCAAGTGAAGCACTCAGAGAAAATAATTGTGCAGTGAGAGAACCACAAATTATAACAATTTTATGGCACTTTCTTTGTCAGTTCAGTCGTGGGCAGTAAATTTACATACTTCATGAAGAGCTGTGTGTCTGCCTGGCAGCCTGCGGGCAACTTTACTTTATTTATGCCCAAATTCAAAGAGCCGCAGCTCTGTCGGCAAAAAAAAGAAGTAGAAATAAAGGAAATCTCAAAACGGGGCTGTGCGTGTAGATGAACACAATTGCGCGTCATAAATTTGAATTATTGTGCTTTTTGCATTTGACAACGACTTAAAAGCACTTGCAGCGATTTTGGCCAGTCCGGCAGTCGGCCACGAACATGTCCTTGAGACATGAATGAGTGCGAGCGAGCGAGTGACCAGATATTAGCGTAGAGAGAGCGAGAGAGAGAAGCAAACTGTGCCTGTGCCTGTGCCTGTGCCTGTTCCTGTGCCCGTTCTATAAAATGCGCCTTTTGTGCTCTGCTCAGCTGCACAACGCCCACAAGGCACACGCTCGGACAGGCGACAGGGAAAACAGCAACGGCCACACTGGCCACAGACATTTTTAGTGGACATTTATTTAATGCTTCAAACGCATTGAAATTTGCGCCCCAAGGCGCCGCCTTTGTTGATGAAGTCGGTCAGCAGCTGCCAAGCCATTGTGCTCGCTGCTTACAGTGCATTAATAAAGTATACGCCCAGTGTGTGTCGCTTAAGACCATCCAGCTGGCAACAAATCAAAAAGAAAATAATATAACAACTATATACAAAATTCAAGACAACGAATTAGCTGTTAGTTGAGGGCGCTGACTGTGACGCTTTGCAGTTGCTTCATTGTCAGCTCTTCAAGCTGAGAGAGTGTTGTATAGCTCACATGGGATAACTAATAACATAAATAATAAATAATAAATTTTTAAATAAATCCCATAGGATAAATAAAAAAAATAAAATTTATGAAATATGCTTAATCGATATCTATCGATTATTTTTAATCACTTTAATAGTTTGTTGTGGTTGCAGCTGATATGTAGCATTTTATATATAAAATATCTTTAGCTTACATTGGAATTTAAATTTATTTTTGAATATATATTTAATATACGATTCAAATTAGTAAAATATGAATCATAAATGCAGCTTTTAAATCGATTTTTATCAATTATTTTCAATATTTTTCCAGCATGCTCTTGCTTGTTGCTTGCTCTGGATGAATAGCCTTTAGTTATCATTATTTATCTACCACGAAGACAGACATACAGAACTACTCTGGCTGAAGATTAAACTGATTTTTAAAGCATAATAATAAATGTTTGAAAAGACGTGTTAAACTTTGGCTGAGAGCGCAATCTAAATGCTGTGAGCTCGGCCAGACCTGTTAACAATAAACAATTGACCGCATGACATGACAAGCAACGAATGTGCTTTCTACACTGGCTATAAAAATATTAAACTGTACACGCCCAAAATAAAAATGAAATCACCCGCACCCACCCACAGGTCTTAATGTGTGTGTGTTGCCTATGTTCAATTGCACAGCAATTTTATTTGTAGTTTTTCATTCGATGCGACATGTCCGCACAAATGTTGCATAGCAATTGCTTTGTGTGTTCAATTTTTGGCATAACAATAAACAAACGAAAAATAAAACTACAACAATGAAAAAACAACAACAACAGACGGTCAAACAAATGAACAAGAGCTGTGCACAAATTGTGCAGCTGTCAAAAGCAGAAAACAGAACTAGGACCAAGTGAGGCGTGGCTGGCGGCACAAAGCTTACTTTTATATGGTGCAAAAAAACACCATATACAAAGGCATGTTTTCAGTATAAAATCAACGCATTGAAGATATCCTGTAAAACTATGTGCATATCAGTTCAAATATCTATGCCACAGACGAGGAAGTGCTATACAATTTTTGTGAAAATATTTTTGAGAAATTTCTTAGACAAGTTTGTTAATAGTTGGTCATTAGGCTTACAATTTGAAGTTGGCTGAGTTGTATGAAAAATAAATTTGAACTAGCTCTCATTAAATTAGGGTATCAACAAATTGGCTTAAATTCATATATGAGCAGTATTTAATCATGATTCGAGAGACAAAAATTAAAAAAATTGAAAAATAAATAAAAATATTTTGTTATTACACTTTTAATTAGAGACTATAAATAAATGCATATAAATTAAATATATTAATTTATATATATGAAATATATATAGTAATAAATATGCAAAATATTAGGCACTAAGCCAAGGCTATGTTCTGTGGCATTTAAGCATCCTCAATACATGAAACCATAGAGTCTTGGAAAAACACTTGTGGCATTAGGATGTTTATTATTTATTTATTTGTGTATTTTAAAAGAAGTCGTCTTTCATTAGAGATGAGCATAGATTGCTTAAGTTAAAAAAAAAGTTATTTCTACAGTGTTATCTTGAAAGTTGATGGAAAGAGGCCATTCGTGTACTTTTGAGCAGCTCTTGTACTTGCTCATTCGCTCTCTCAGCGCAGCTGCTTGAGCTTGATAAGCCGTGGTCTTTATAGTTGGAGCATAACTACAATTATAACATCATTAGAGTGGTGCGACTGCTTGGGCGTCGACTGCCCAATGACTGCCCTTCGACTAATTCACAAGAAATTAAACCACCTACCAGATAAACTATCTGTAAGAATATTAATTATATTTTATTTATATTATATTAATATATATATAGTAACTATTTCACATATGATATTTTCTTTATATTTTTATATACTTTCAAGCACAATAAAATAATAATAAATTATGTCATAATATAAATTATGTCATATATATATATATAAATATATATTTTCCACTCTGTTATACCCTTATACATGCAGCTACTAAAAACAGGGTATATTTACATGTACGAACAGTAAGTGTGGTTTTCATAAGTTTTGTCAATTTTAACAATGTTGTGGTGCGTCATCTATAGAGCAGAGAGCGTAACGTGTGAACATAAATGGATTAAATATTAGCTAAATATGAAAAATATTTGAAAACATTTATGTAATAGAAGCTAAAAGGATATTTTTGGCCAAACTAAATTTTTTAACAAGAGTTTCAATTTTCAACAACTGAAAATATTTAAAACTTGAGCTCATTGGAATTGGTTCTTCAAAGTCAGCTAGTCAGAGCTTAGTTCAATCAAATTGCAGTAATAAAGAACTTATGCTATAAAATGCAGGTTTAAGTTGTTTTTATTTGACCACAGCCTAGAGATATGCAACATAAATTTATATCTCAATACAAGCAACTCTTGTGCTTTTCGCAGCTAATAAAGCTTGAGATGGCAGTTTAATGCGACAACATCTTCAATTCGCACTGGGCTCTCGCTTAACACATATTAAGCTCAGTGTACAGAGGTACTTAATGTATATGTATGCGTGCGGAACGCGCTCAGTTGACCGCATTGCCAGTTGTTGCTGTTGCTGTTATTATTGCCTTGGTCTTTGTGTGCTGTGTGCTGTGTGCTGCGTGCCAGGGTCACATTTAATTGTGCGCCATGTTCAACAGGCCGTTGTACATGCGCATTAAATGTAATTAACTCATTATAAATGATAACGTGGCCAAAAGGAGTCGCGCCATGGCTTGTCTTAAGCCGCTGCCAAGCTGAGCCAGCACTAAACAGCAGCCAGCAGACAGCCAGGCAGCCAGACAGACAGCCAGGAGCACGACTTGTCATCATAGCTAATTTAGCCAAGCCAGCCAACCAGAGTCCAGGCAGAACGTGTTATGTTTCCGCACAGTCACCCGGTGAGTCGCGGGTGGGGGGTCACGCAAAATGTGAAATTATTACCGGAAAAGGACAATGTGACACGCGGGCTATTATTCAGGTGCCCAACTCTGACCAGGTATCTGGCTGAGCGCTATAAAAATGCTTTTATGCTCTCAAGTGTGTGCTGATATTTGACCCTGTTTATGGCGGGCTTTTGTTTTGTTTCGCTCTCGTTTCGTTTTGTTTTGTTTTGCTTTCAGCTTGTTTTATTTTATAGTTTGTCTCACACCTGGCTGCAGGTGTGGCGCCTGTTAATTATGTAACACGCTCAAGTGTTTCGTTACGCACCTTTTGCTGTTCGCTATGCTAGAAAAATACATTTATATTACACACATTGTGCTCGTTCGCTTCTTTTTGCCCGTGCTCAGACAACTGCGTAAACTCACATGCGGATTTCATTTAGATAAAGTGAAATGTAGATTAGTATAATTGCTGGAGCTGTGCTGCACATGGCATTCGGCCAGCTAGACAGACTTAAGAGCGTTCCAAGCCACAAATTGCAATAAATTTTTCTTTATTTCTTTAGGTTTTCTTTCAGTTTGTGCAATTATTTTTAATTCATTATTAATTGAGCGCAGTTCTATAAATGAAGATTTTCAAACTATTTAAAAGTCTTTTGCAATAGTTCAAGTGAAACATGGTAAGGCTTAGTTGGTCTGGCCAGTTCAATACATTCGCAGTTTTTGATTCTCACATAGTTCAGAATGCGTTCAATTATGTTTGATCCAGTTTGAGCTGGGTTTTCGTGTTATTACTCAAATTGCAAGACATTCAAAAGGTTTCTTAAATTCACAATTCAATGCGCCCGATAGACAGAAAAACTGACAACATAATTTCAGCATATGACATTTTTTCTAATGAGAAAAAAGTTTTCGCAGCACTGAGCAGAGCCAAAGCCAAGCAAATTTGCTTTGTGATTGTCACTGATAACCATACTTTGAGTGTGTGTGTGTGTGTGTGAGTGTGTGGCACTCAATCTGCAGCTGCCAGCTGGTTGACCAAAGCAAACTGTCAGAAAGCATCTGACAAACATTTGTCGTCGGGCTGACAAAGACAGAAATGAGCAAAGCAAATAGAAAAATATGCATATGAAAAACGAATTTATTCTTGTCCCGAAAACACACAGAAAGGCAACAAAATTTGCAAATGCTTTGACAACCCGATTTGATAGTGCGTCCCGCGCCCTAGTTCTCGCCATCGTCTTCCAGTATTTGCTTAAAGCAGAACGGCGCAAAGGCATAGCCGGCGCCCTCATAGAACTTGCTCATGAACTCGACCCTAAAATACGAAATCAGTTTGCATGAAATAAATTGAAAACTTTATGGAAATCTTCTCAAACTTACCAATGCAAGCGCAACGTGTGCAAGAAGGCCGAGAGACCCTCGATGAGCACCAGAATGCCCACGGTGAGCACTGACCAGGCGCCGAAGGTCAGGAAAACGGCTATGCAGCCTACATAGCTGGAAAAGATGAAACCATTGGAGAACACCATGTCCCACAGCACCTCAGAGAGTTCTGAAAGAGCAAAGCAATTGAGAGTCAGAGAGAGAGAGCCAGAGAGAGAAGGAGAAAGTTGAGCTTACGTGCATGCGCCAGGGACAAGGCCCACAGTCGCAGGTAGGAGGCCGTGTGAGAGATCGTGCTGAGCACGTACTCAATGGTGTGTATGGCCTGCTGTATGTACACCTCGCTCATGGGCTCATTGTCGCCGCCATGGCCATGGCCGCCTGAGGGCGCAGCAGCTGTTTGATTGGGCGCTGGCAATTGCTTTCCGCGCTTGGCCTTGATGTAGAGCGGCTTGCCCAGCAGCATCCAGGGTATGCAGATGACGGCCACGATTACGAAGATCGTTTGTATCGTATCCTGACCCTCGAACATGTACTCCTTGCAGCCATCTAGCGGCTCCTGATGTCCCATGAGCATCATGTTGATGAACAATATAAGTATGGAGGGTGCACAGCCGGGCGACAGAGACTGGTCCAAGCTGCTGTCATTATAGGTGACCCACTTGAAGAACATCATGAAGACCATGTAGCCGAACAGCAGCAGCAGGAACAGAACCTGTGGCACGAACTCCAGAATGATGCTGGCGTACTTCTTGTAATGCACGAAATTCACAACCGACATGCAGACGCCAAAGATCATGTGGAAAACGCCAAAGATAATGGAGAGCTTCATCTTGAAGGTGTTCAAGAAGATGATCTTATTGTCGGCTAGCTGCCAAACGGGATCCAGGCCAAGTGGATAGGTCTTGAAGTTGCTAATATTCGGTCTCAGCGTCAAGTAGGCGATGCTATGATCGGTGACTGTGGAGGTGTTATACTGATTGTGCCAGCCAGATCCAAAGATATTCATTGACTTGGAGAACAGATCATTGTAGACCAGGCCGGTATAAAGAGAGAAGATGCCCATCAGCAGTATGATATAGCGACCGCCAAAGAATATCGTGAATATCTCCTCTTTTATGGAGGCCAATTGGCGTTCCTTGATGATCAGAAAGGCGGCAAAGGCTACCAAGACGACGGCATGTCCCATGTCGCCGAACATCACGGCGAACAGGAACGGAAATGTGATGCATGTGTAAAGGGCCGGGTTCACCTCCCGATACGAGGCCATGCCATAGGAGTCGATTAGGTTCTGGAAGCCGTTCGTGAACTTGTTCGTGCGCGTAAACGTGGGCGGCTGCTCGTTGGTGGAGATGACGTTCATAAAGGCTGGTATGCTGGACTCCGAGATCTTGGAGCCGTGGGACAGCGCCTGCTGCACAGTCGGCAAGTCCCGGACGGGCACCCAGCCCTCGCCAATCAAGCACTTGCCAGTTACGTCCGGGTTGAAGTAGTTGAGTATGTGATAGATGGCTTTCATTTTCTTGACCATGACAGTCCAGCGAGCCAAGTGCTTGGCCGCGGTGCTCAGCACGCGACTGCGGTGATCGGCACTCTGATTGAGCACCATCTTCAAGTCCTCGAGTCTCATATTCACATCCTTGATCATATCGGCACGCTCGTTAGCCGCACTGGGACAGGGATAAACGTCGGCATGGTAGCCCGTGCAGACCTTCTTGATGCGCTGCTTGAGCTGCTCGCCCTGAAAGAAGGCCACAAAAACGGTCTTCAGCACTTTGCGACCCGTCTCGTCGTCCTCGCACAGCCCGCTGATATCGTTGCGCCTCAGGAAGATGTTGCCGCGCGAGATGCGCCACAGCATGCGCTCGAAACTGAAGAAACGCTCCAGCTTGATGACGCCGGCCACAAAGGCCAGTTGGCCGCGTTGAGCTGCCGCCTGTGGCGCCTTGGGATCTTCGGGGTCCATCTGTCGATTGGAGTCCAAATTGATGACTTCCTGGTTGGAAAAGAAGCCCTCGGTGTTCTCCAGCACACTCTTCAGCTCCTGCATGTGCCTGAAGTTGGCATTCAGGCTGGCGCTGTTATCCGACATGTCATGCAGCTCGTTCTCCGTCTTCTCCAGCTGCGCCTCCAGATCGATGATCTCGCGCGGGTTGGGCGCCGATGGCTCCTGGTCAGCGTTGAGCTGTGGCATCTTGATATCATCCTTGCGCAACTGACTTTCTATGTAGCGCACGCGACGCTCCATCTCGTCGCAGCGCCGCACTTCGTTCACATATTTGCGCTGAAACGAATTGACCTGGTCGTTGAGGTCGCGAAACTGGACACAGCCCCTCTCGCCCAGCTCAGCTATCGAGGCGTAGGCAGCCTCCGGCTGCACATACAACTGGCACAGGGCCATCTTCTCGCTGCGAAACATATCGCCCATGGTGGAGCCCTCGCGTCGTTATCTGAAAAGAGCGATAGTCGAAATGAGTCGCCGATTACTATCTGATTAGTAGCTGATTAAATGAAGTGTTATTTATTAGTGTTGCTAGGCTTGGCAGTCGCCTAACGAGTTGCTCCAGCCACTTCTGAGCTGCCATAAATAAATGCTCTCTAGCTGTAAAAATATCTTAATCTAACTAGATTTATTGATTTTGTAAATAATATTTGTGGATTTCTCTCTGAGACTGTAGACAGCAATTCGCTTTGCTATGCGGCAAGTTTATGTGGTAATCATTGTATTGATTGAAGTGAGTTAGGCATTTTCGATATTTGATTCGATTCATGTAGCTCAGTTATGCTGAGAACTTGGACTATTTTGAATGTTTAGTTAACTTGTGGCAGCTGTTGTATTTGAACTTGTTTTGGTTAAGCTTTGATCGTTGCCTTTTCTTAAAGATGAAACCAAGAATCTTTATCAAGTTTTGGCCAAAAATCAGGCAGCAATGCTCCCAAGACCTGGCCTTCTGTGACTTTTCTAGTATTTAAACCAAAAGAGACGATTGAAAGCATGACTATGTGAGATAAAGACGTCAGCGAAGTAGGAGCTGGATAGACTCATAAAAGAATTGAAAAATGGGGGCTGCGCAAGTGTTTAATACCTGAAGTCTGATGGGGTTTATCTTGATGGTGTCAAAATAAATATGCATGAAAAAATTAAGCAATTAAAAAAAATCAAAAATGTATATAAATATATGAATATATCAAATGCTTTTTTTGCCTTTTTCTATAAAATATTCTCATATATATTTTTCTCATATATATATAATACCCAAATGGTTTCAACATATAAGTTGGCAAAGTAAGAAGACTACAGAGATTATATGTCTATATAAAAAATATAAATAGTCCACTTGAAGCTGTTTCACATGCCAATATAGTAGCTGAGTTTACTGCTTCAACAAATAATTAAAGGCCTTGTAATAATTAATTACTTATTCGCAATTATTGTTAAATTAAATTTATCTATAATAGCCGCTTTACTATAATAACAATCATAGACAAATGCAAGCAAATAACTGAATTATAAGATTATTTTAATAGCATTTGATTTGTCAGAATGCTTCTAGGTTGTCGAGACAATCTAAGACCCGTGTGACGTACATTGTTTATGGACATGGAAATCTTAATGCAATGTCCCAATCAATCAGCAACTAGCATTGTAGGAATGTTGCCATGTATATATTGTATTTATGTGAAATTGAACTATTTGTGTACAAGCTATGTCCCAGATAAGATAACACGACTCGCACCAAGATATCGTTTCGCTTTTAGTTGTGCGCTTATCTCAAGTGCTGGCCCGAAACGATGCGTTAATAATTTCAAATTATTAACAATTACCAAGCAATCAGCTGGCTTATATATACACTACACATTAAATATATATTTATGTATATATAAATATTATTTTACAAGTGGCAGCTGGGAGGACTAGGGACAGACTCGGCGGCACTGGGCACATGAATAATGACGCTGCTTGATAGCCATTTTTGTTGTACAGATTGCAGATATTTATGACAGTCTAACTCCAGTGGCCGGCTGTGATTTTGTCTCGCATGTCGGGCCATAAATTTGATTGATTCAGCCAATTTGGCGAGCGGCCTGATAAGCAGCCGCCGCTGTCTCTGCCCGATTTGATAATTGCCTGCGATTGCCATCGGCTCTGTTCAGGCATTAAAGAGCCTTGTGAAGACTTCAACTTTATAATTTACCACAAAAGGAAGTCAAATAGTGTCGGGCATGATAATACGCTAGCTCAAGTGCTCTTCAAACATCAAAAGTCAATAAATTGTAACAATTGCTTATTTCGTACTTGGAAAAAATCTTTTCTCATTTAAAATTCGAAATTAGGTTAATGAAAAAAGTGTTAGATATGTTTAACATAATTAAATTTAACATTTAAATTAATCAGTTCAGAAACGTAAATTAATTTTAATAAAGATATTTATGAAATGTAATTAAATTAATTAAATTATTATTTTGTACATAAAAAAAAATAAGAGAAAAAAAAATAAATTATTAAAATGAATTGATTAACAAATAAAATATTTTGTATTGTAAACTATATAATTAAAATATAATATTTTACAAGCAAAAATCTAATATTTATTAATATAATAAAAAATATATAATTTAAATAAAATTTTTAATATTAAAAAACTGAAGCAAATATATTGTAAATCCCATTGTTTTGGGTGTTCCATTTAACTCTAAGCACTTGAAAATTCATGCTACGTACTCATAGTTCAGGTAGATTTACTGTTGTAGCATTGCCTGCGGTTTTCTATTGTAAATCAAAATTAATGTACGAAAGCAACTGACTTGAGCAGAGCCCCAGGTCTGTGGGCTTGAATATGCCTTAAAGTTGGCCATAAATCGTTTGGCCGAGAATAGGAGCGGAAACAGCACAATAAACTCTAGTTGGATGTTAGCCTAAGGCTGTCATTCTATAGGTACATATCCTGTATATATAGTGAGTGGTAAATGTGGGCTATAATTACGGCGGGGTCATTGCAGAGTCGAGCAATCGACGCTGCGCTTAGCTCATTAAGGAATCCGTTTGCTGGCCGTAAAAATATTATCGGTAACGTAATAATTTGCACAACAATTTATGCACTCAGGTGTGTGTGTGTGTGTGCGTGTGTGTGTGTGGGGTGCTGTTTTCACATGATCCATCACGTGCTCTGACGTCACCCACGAAGGAGTGTACACATGTGTGTGTGTGGAAGTAGTTTAGCATTTGCTTGCAGGCAAATCGAAGTCGACGTTTAACGGTCGGGCAATTATCAAAAATCAATTAAGATACGTTATCGCAAGACATGTCGCTATTAAGATTAACGTAATTGTCTAGAATATGGCTTTGAATAATTGCGCCTTACGGGTGCTCAGGGGTCCTGTGAGCCTGCCTATATCTATGTGTGTGTGTGCGTCGAGCCACACTGATGGCCACTCTAATTGCTTTGCGGGTGGCTGTTTATTTACTGACAACACTGAACATTATTTTTATATCCCTGCCGAGGATTACAGCAGTGCGAAGAGCGTTTATGATAAGAATTGGATTTATGAATGGAAGGAAAGCTTTTATGAAATACTTAGCATAATTTAAGTAATTATATACTTGTGTTTAATGTATGAATAAATATACAAATATTTATACATGACAATTATTAAGTTACATATATAGAGCAAAGTAAGATGAGATCTCTGAAAATATATTTTAAGTTAACTTTCTCATCCACAAGTCCCACTTTGACACAGGCAAATAATTTTATGTGAATATAACAATTTTTGATATTTCCCAAGTTTATATATATTAAGCTCATGTTGCTATTAAATTCATTCACAATGGTCTTCGCACTGCATTGTTCTACAGTTCATGTTATTAAAGATCTTTTATAAGCACTTAAATAAACTAAAGCAAAATGTTTAATTTGTGACATTGTTTAGGGCTTATCTGGAAGCAATTGTGATAACCCCTCGTGGTCGATTTAACCCGCAACGGCGCAAATAATCAAGTTAAACAATTCAAAGCAAACGAGTTTGCCTTGGCTCATGAGTCACTTTGTTGAAAACATTTTCACTTGCTTCTTAAAATATTAGTTTTTAATGGCATGTGTGCAGCATTTAGTGCGCGCTTACATTGAAGATTAGAAAATGAATTGGTTTTGCTTGTAGTTTCTCTTTTTTTGGGCTGTTTTTGTAGCAGTTGTTCGCGACCTGCCCAGACCAACGGCGCTTTGTGGACTGTTCGATCGAGTTGGCGCCCATAGACCAGGTAGCTTTTGCCAATTAAACTACGGTTAATCTACACTTGTCGTACACACCTACACACACAGACGTAGTTGGAGGCCAGGGTATATAATCTGTGGGGCTTTTTATCTCGGCGCAACAACGCAAACACTTTGCGATTTCTGTTTGTGATTGCGTTGCTAAACAAGCCTTTGATAGACGCGTTGCTGGTTCTGTGCCAAGGAGTGGCACTGCAAGAGAAAGGCGGGGGCTTATCACGAGTTTACGGTGCGCCTAGCCGAAGTTAATACGGCAATCGGCACAGACTAACTGAAATAGCTAACAGCCTTAGCTGCCAAACAGCCATATCAATTGGATCAATGATTGAGCTCGAGTTGCTCAATTTCTCGATTGCAGTGCTCGACGCGGCTATTATCATGTGACAACTATCAAATGTTAAATTGTGATATCTTTAAATTGCGTTCGACTGTAAAGCAACAGACGTACTATAATATCATCCATCGATCATGGCACTGTGATAGGTTGGAATGCTTTACAAATACAGCGCGACTGTTATTCACTTGAATAATTCAATTCTATTTACAGATTTTTTTTAAATAAATATACTTAAGTTATAAATATTAGCTTATTGTGTTATTAAATATTGATTTATTTCTTTAACTTTTCGCTTCGCAGAACTTTGCTGATTGGTTTCTGCTTTTGCTTGTTTTTCTAATCTCTCAGTCATGAGATTCGGTGGTATTTTTTTTTTTTCTAAAAATATGCGCTCTATATCATATAGTTCAATTTTTAATTAGGCTTATCTTAAGCTGCCTACGTCCAATAGATTTCAAAGATTAAACATGTTTATTTATGATTAACTTATCTGGAAATGTGCTATATTTGTTGTGTGCAACATTTCTATGAAAATGAGTGTTGAAAACATTTTTCTTATTTCTATTTTTAATTTAAGAAAAATATTTATAAATAAGTTAAACGAATTTGTTAAGAATTGGGCTTAAAATATATTTTTTATTCGATAAAAATTCATTGTAATTATTTTTCATCAATACTTATTTACAGTTCTTTTATAGGAAGGCTACCATTAAATAGTGCTCCTAATTCAATATTTTTATTTTAAAGTTTGACATTTGTTAGCTCAAACTTGCATATCAAGTTTTTGTGAGCCATTTCTGATTTCTTTCTGTTCCCGAACAGCAGCTCGCTTTTGTGCGATTCTCTTCTGGGTAACAGAAGTGCTTTGAAAATTGGTTCAAGCGGAAGCAGAAATCTACTGACTTCCTGGAAGAATATTTATATTGATATTGATAAGTGCATGAGCTGTTACCTTACTCATTTGTGTTACGATTACAAAGGGATTTCAAAGCAGCTCATTAGCCACTTTACTCACCTGCTGATTGCACTTATTGCAGATTGTGCAATGCCCAAGGATTATCTGTAGGTTTTTTTGTTTTTTATTTTCTGTGTGTGCATTAGACCTACGACAGCGTGATGTGGGCTCAATTGCTTTCCACGGGTCTGAGTCTCAAGTGTTTTGTTTATCAGCGATTTTTTGCGGGTATTCTGGAGTATAGAAAAGCTTATCGAGAGTCACGTGCGTTTTTCTCAATGTTTTAATAAATAATCATGTACACACCCTTATAAATACATATATATATGTATTCACTGTGAATCATATGAAAAAGTTTGGAAATTATCAATGCAGCCATAAATTTTAATGGCGGTACAATTAAAAGACGCAGCAATTGGCTGTACTTTGTTGCCAGCTCATGATTGGTTTATGACGAAAGGAAAAATAGAAAAAGTTAAAATTTCGACTGTCGTGAAGCAAACACATAGCAATTACTCTATTTTCAGATAAGACTAAAAAATAAAAGTTAAATCAGAACTAATAAAAATTAAAAGAATTTGAAACTAATCTAAAAATTCATATTCTCAATCTTGAGAATCTCAGAGAAGGCTTAATTTGTGTTATAAAATCTATGTCAAGCTGGCAATAAAAGCAATATGCTCTCATAACCTTGGAAAGCAGAGTACAAAAGCATAAAATAAATGCCATTTGTAGCACCCACTTTGACGTCAGCAATTGAACTCGTGCCTGGAGATTGCATTCATGGCAATTTATCGGGCAGCTGGCAACCTGTTTAATGGAATTTACCGTTGCTCCTGCTGCTGTTGCTGCTGCTGCTGCTGCTGCTGCTGCTGCTTGGCTATTAGCGTATTATCTGCTCTAAGCTGACGCAGTTGCGGAGGAGTTTTCGCGTGTGCTCCAGCTCCAGCTGAGCAGGCACTTGACTGATAAGCCAGCGCCTGATAACAGGCGAGTACATCACGAGCTTTTTGCTCACTTCACCCATTAAAATTTTCCAGCTAACGAGTTTAAGTGTTCGTATATTATGCTAATTAAATGACGAGTGCATATGTGTGAGAGAGACAGAGAGAGGATGAGTGAGAGAGAGAGAGAGAGAGATTATATGTGAGCGTATGACTGACCGCAAATAAATTGCATGCAACTTTTTGGCACATAAAATTGCAGCTTGGCTCTGCTCTTGCTACGGCTGCTAATGCCACATAATGAAGCTGATAATGGTCAACAACTGGGGTGTAGAACGAGGACACAGCCAAAATTGGCTGCCGCAATAGAAGATGAGCCAGGAATGCAGCCCGGCCAGGCCAGGCCAATGGCAGTTGTAGCCCAGTCTAGTCTAGTGCCGGTCCGCACAGTCGAGTCGAGTCAAGTCCATGCCACGTTCACATTAAATGTTGTGCCGCATCCGTGTGGCATGGAGCATACGGACAAATAGACCAACGGACAACCGCCAGCTAATGTGCGTCACCATTTCGTCTGTTTTGTCGGCCAACAACAGATGTTGCTGCTGCTGCTGGTGTTGCCGCTGCATTGAAAGCCAATCAGAGCCTTCGTATTCAGCTCTGGTGGCGCATCCATTTTGTCTGCTCGTGGCCAATAACTAAGTTGTTGCGTGGCTGTGTGGATTAGTCTAATGCCAATATGTGTAGCAACAAAATGTGGCAGTGGCAGGCGGGCAAACGGGCGGGCGGTCCGTTCGTAAGTGCCTTTTAGTGGTGTGCAGCCAATCGGATTTTGATGTGCTTAGCGTGCAAAAGTGCAGCATTTTCTATGGTCTGCTATTTATTCTCCGCTCCGGAGTGAAACTTCTCTGTTGGCAACAATAAAATTTCATTATCGCTCCGATGTACCAATGCAACCAGTTATGGAATTGTTGAATTTACCTAGGCGCCACTTTATTGCTTTCCATGCGCTCCGCTCATAAAATGTTGATAAAAACCAAAAGCACAATAAATTGGCGATAGTTTAGCCCAGATATAAAATCAGGCGAGCAACTTAGATATTGGAGACTCTAAAGAGTTGGATATAAAGCTAATTCAAATTAAATATAATTTACCAGGCTACGTTTTCAAGAAGGCTTTGCAGTGCTGCGCTTGAAGCAGAAACTCTTTCCTTTTCTTCTATTCAATTCCTTGCAGTTTTTCGTCTTCGTCTATATAGCGCACTTAAATCTAAGTTTAAGTGAGGTGGCCTGTAAGCCAGCATATACATCTTAAAGAAGCTCTTATTTAATCCTTATTCTATTTCACAATATTTCAAGTTCACCAGGGTCCTCTGCATTTCAGAGGATGTCATTTTTCCAGTTTTAGTCTGTTGTTATTTGTTAGTTGCAAGTAGCTGGAGCTGTGACGCAGCAACTCGATTAGCTATATCACATCAGGTATACAACTTTGGATACTAGCTGACGAAATACTTCTACTATAATTTAAAATTTCATCTAAGTAATAACAGTATAAATATTTTCTTCAGCTACTGCTGAAGTGTTCCTCAACTTCGAGTCACTTTTATCTTTCTCCAGCAATATTGCCTTGTAATTAATTGAATATGCATAACTACCAATAAACTGAAACAACGAGAGATACTAGAAATATAGCTTATTCAATTATTTCAAGTGTTCGCCATTAAAATGTTGCTTTTGCTCGGCCCACCTGCCTCGGCGTGTGCCTTTGTGCTGACAACTTCGCACTGCTAATGCGCTTTATGGCTAATAAAATAAAAACAAATGTTTTATAAATAACAATGGCCAAATGAAATTAAAGAGAAAGCAAAATATAAAAAAAATAATGCTAACTAAAAAAAACTGAAAAGAAAAGAAAACAGAAAGAGAAAAACAGTCAACCACTCCTCGGGTGCTGCTCAAAAATTACAGCCCAAAAGTGTGCTACGTAAAATTTCACATTAACAGCAACAATAACAACAACAACAACGACAACAACAGCAACAACATTGAAGTCATTTCGTATTTATTGTATTACCTTTGTCAGCATATCTAACATTTTTGGTTATTGTTGTAGTTGCTGCCGCGTTTTGCTGTTGCCTGTTTTGTTTTCTTTTTTATTTTTTATTTTTTTGTGATTTTTAATGCTTACTTATTATTTTTTGTTGCCGGCTTTACTGTTATTGCCCTGCTGTCATGGCATGCGCACATTGTTTTTCGTTACCATTCAAGATGAAAAATCCAATTTACTCCCCTTAAGCATTCCCGTAATGCGACCTCAAGCCCCTCGAGCTAACGCTCCGCGTGCCGACCCTAACCCATATTTACAAAAAAAAATAAATATATATAAAAGGGTTCACAAAGTGCATAATACAGCTTTTGTTGTTGTTGTTTGTGTTTTTATTTTTTTTTGCTGTTATGTTTTCCACTTTCGTTGCGCACTATTTTCATAATTTCCACGCTCTGCTTAGGGAAAGTGCGTAAAATGTTGGAAAAACGCGCGCTAATATGCAGCGCTTCATGGGAAAATGATTTGTGGCGATTGCTGCTGGCACGCTTCGGATTCTCTATATTGTTTTTATCATCTGAATTGGTGCAGAACTTTGCCAGGGCCACAGTTCGACAGAAGGGCAATAAGTAAGCTTGCGCTTGGAACTTTAACTAGTTTGCATTAAGCTGGATTTAATTCCATGGTAAATTGCTTCAGAAATATATTGCGTTTGCCTTGCACTAGATACGAATTATCTTACATCGAGACCTCAAAGAGGGAGAAAAAGAGACTAGCTAGTCTCTGTACTAGATCTAGGAGAAAGCTCTGACCTGATAGTATTTAGTTTTTATATTTAAAATACATTAAATACGCTTTCGGAAATAAAGCTTTGCAATTGATATGTTCCACATTTAAGCTGATATATAAATGCCAACAAACTAGAATTTAGTTCTGTGAATCGCTCGCAAAATGGACTCAATTTCAACATTGAGTAAAGCCGCCGCAACAAAGCGTATTTTTGAATGTA